TTTCGCAAGCGGATCCACTTCCCACTCGTTGCCCGTCGTTACAGTTGTTTGTTGCGACACACTCGCCCGCTCCTGTAAATTCTCCTGTCAAACGGAAAGGAATTGCCCGAGGAGATCCTACTCCATCTTGTTCTTGAACGTTCCGTTGCCCTCCGACTGTATCACCGTGAATTTCTTTTCGTCCATACGAGATTTATACCTCGAAACGGTCGCCGCGAGAATTGCTCGGGGATCGCTCGCGATTGGCGCACTGCGAACACTTTTTGTTCAAATGGGCAGATTTTTATCATGCCGCGTTGGTGTTAGTTAATTCGGTTAATTTTTAGAATAAGGAATTCTTTGGTTGCCGGAGCAAAAATTTTTCAGTGATTCCGATTTCGATAGAACGTCGTGTCAGAATGAGAATTTGCACACAAATGACATGTCTGTAAAGGAAAAATCTATGAAAAATGTCTATGCTTCAAGGTATATTGTGTTTCATTATCTAGTGGCTTTAAATTCCGGCATAACTGTTATTACAACAGAAATTTATGCAGTGACTCAGCTCGAGAATGTTTTTGCGATCATTATACACGATTAATATTCGTGCAATTTTTTCAACCGTAACATTAAGAACTTGTGGTATTAAAGTTAAATACTCGGTATTTCTGATAGCTTAATCCTTTCACAAATGAATCACGTAAAGAAAAAATGCTGTAAAGAGCCATCTAATAAATTAGACTGCGTAACTCTGTGCAAAATAAAAATTGTCTTCAGCAATTTCAAAAATCGTGGCTCGACTGGAAACGTGTCTCTTCTCTTGATCATTTCAGTTACTTAAAAATAACGCGTGTCCTTTTATTCGTCCTACGTTCTTCCAATTCTGTACTCCGCGTTATCATTTTCCTCGCAAACCAAAAAAAAGTCCGCAGTTAACTAATAATGAACGTTTATTACCGCAGATCAAAGTCCACGGTCCAATCGCGCGTGTAACCCGAAATTGCTTTCAGCTCGCTTATCGGCCACACAGCTTTCTGCATCCGCCGCGTCTTAATTAATCCTTCGGACGCAGAGACGAATTTAAACACTTTGACCGTCGTCGGACTTTCCACGGGGCCGCGAAATAGGGAAATTGTAGAGCGCGAAAGATGTCAGCGATATATATGGACGCGGCACGGTGACGAGCCACTCATAATTTCCGTTGTGCGGAACGGCTGAAATTACATCTCGCTAATGAATGCGTAAAACCGACTAACACTCCAGCCGAAAGCACTGTGCGGGCTTGAACATCCTGCCAACTACAGAGGCTATCCAACAGTCCATAAGGAGGCTGCAGCCAGCGGACATTCGCTAATTGTGGGCCGAGGGCCTATCACAAACAATGCCGCCCTGCCTTTCTAAACATGCAATCTCTAAAGAAGATTTTTACACGGTTTGTCGGTAGCTTGGACAGTAAATTTCATACAGGCGCGAATTTCAACACGTCCGCCGGCAGCGTTCGCTTTAATAATTGCCTTTCGTAATTGGATAACGTTGGATCCTCGTGCTGCTTTGCTATATGCAAATTGTCCAAAATACAGAACGTAATTTCTGTTCCATTTTTGCTGTCGAGAGTCTTTTAGCCAATGAAAGACATTTTTGTTTTGATTTCCATGGAAATATAGAATCTGTGATTTGTGCAGAGAGATGCAAGCTTATGGCAGAAACGTGGATTTAAAAGAGTGAAAAGATTAAAAGAAGCTGATATAACATTATTTTTAACTTGTTAGAATTATTAAAAAAAAAGACAGAATATCTTGTTATTGCCTTCTACGTTTTACAGTTGATGCAGGCAATTTTTATTTTCTATGTTTATTTTATGTGATACGCCGTTTTATAGTTCACCGAAGTATCCTGCAACACTCGGTCATATTGATGTTCGATAAGTATGTAAAAATGAACTACTTTTTGCTTGCGGCAATGATAATACCAAAACGCACCTCGTTTATCTTTGTTTATCTGTTTTCTTTTTGCATTTTATCTGCCAAGGATAAATATTATATATTAGTTCATCTGAAAATACGAGCGTTCAGCGAAAACGCTGTTGTGTCATGGAAAACAAAATATTTAAAAAAATGCGGCGATGCAGGAATTATGAGTCAATTGAGTCAACTAAAAAGTGTATTTGCTTACTGCAAATAGAAAGCATGATATTTTCTACACCTGCCAGCAAAACGATGAATCATAGATCTTCCATTTCGTAATCATTGCAAACTTCCTTTCGTAGAAAATTAGTGAACAAATTAACTTATTAGTGTTACTATTATTATGATCATCAATTAATGTAATTAATCGCCTCTAGTGTTCATTAATTCCACTATTACATTATTTGTAGAAATTTTACGGTTGCTTCTAGACAGCTAAATTTGCTTTCATAGAAAATTAGTGAACAAATTTATTTATTAGTGTTACTATTATTATGATCAAAAATTAATGTAATTAATCGCCTCTAGTGTTCATTAATTCCACTATTACATTATTTATAGAAATTTTAAGGTTGCTTCTAGACAGCTAAATTTGCTTTCATAGAAAATTAGTGAACAAATTTACTTATTAGTGTTACTATTATTATGATCAACAATTAACGTAATTAATCGCCTCTAGTGTTCATTAATTCCACTACTACATTATTTGTAGAAATTTTACGGTTGCTTCTAGACAGCTAAATTTGCTTTCATAGAAAATTAGTGAACAAATTTACTTATTAGTGTTACTATTATTATGATCAACAATTAACGTAATTAATCGCCTCTAGTGTTCATTAATTCCACTACTACATTATTTGTAGAAATTTTACGGTTGCTTCTAGACAGCTAAATTTGCTTTCATAGAAAATCATTGAACCAATTTATTTTTTACCACGACTCCTGATGATGATCAAAATATTTAATTAATCGCTCGATAATTCGCTCACTCATTACTGAAATTGCACCGCTGCCGAAAAATTATGCACCCGCGAGGCTGTCGAAAGAGCTTCCTGCGTTCGAGAACCGAAAACAGCGAGGCTAGACTAAAAAATATTCCAGACGAGGAAAAACGAGAATAGCAGTTGACAGACGTTTTACTGTTATTTGACGCGGTGTTTACCATTTAGGCCATTCCGTTCTGTAAAAACAATATTTATTCGAGATTTTTTTTAGCGCACGCATCGGTGCGTTTGAGTTCGGCTGCAAATAAAATTGGCTCAACCGAGAGCAGAAATCACGATCCAGCGGTTTTTCAGGCCGTTCAGCGAGTCGTGAATTTACTACGTTCAACGGACCGTATTGTACCTAACGTGTTTACTTCGCCCCATCGACTCTTGCGAAGAAACAAAGCGAGCAGAAAACTGCGACAGATGAGAAATTAAAGATGGAAAATTCATACAAAGAGCAAGGATCCGGAATTCGTGGGAAGATACGCGAGTTTATTGTTCGTTCTGCGATTCGTCTTTGGGGTTTGGATTTGATCGCAACGCGATCTTCGTACCATAATCGGTCGCCGATAACGAATAACGGAGCACACAAATTATTTTAAAAATACATCGTCGAGAGCTGAGATACATTTTAACGAGAACAACTTTTCTAGGCAAAAGTTTGAAATTCATTTTTATCGCGAAGCATTGCGCAGCGAACTGAATTGCAACAATTTTTGTAGCACGGTAAATTCGCCCCAATTTTCCTTCGGCTTGTAAACAAAAATGGACGATTCGGGGAGGATTTTTATAGTTCCCGGTTATGTGAATAATTATAAAAACGAGGTGTAAGGCTCGAATAATCGTACCGGCTCTTCCCACATTGTCCATTTTCGTTTGCAAGCTGCAGGAAAATTGGGAAGAATTGACTATATTCAGAAGCGTCAATGAAATAATATTCGCTCTTCCCAATTTTCCTAATTAAATTATCTCGATGTTACAGGATCTCTTGGACCATCCCTTTCCGGTCATCGACACGCGACGCAATCGTTTACCCGTTCCGCAGAGGTAAGTTTCATTTATAGACTATTGTTTGCTGCTCTAATCTTTGAATACACGAAGATAGGAGACAACGTTGCATCTGTGTAATTTTTGCTTTTCATGCTCCCCCCTGAAGAGATTAATTAAATTCGAATAGAAATCAATATTAATCCGTTAAAATGGATCTCTGAATATACACTCGTGCATGGTTGCACAGAATTGAAATAACTTCATTCAAATAACAACATTTGACGCAATTAACAGCTTCGTTCCTTCGTTCGCGGCACCGTAATTTAACGATAACTTAATACCAACTCTAATAATTCAATTTCCTCGAATATCAAACAAAAAGATCTCAATCCCAGAAAATATATCATCGTTAATAAGCTTCTTCTCCGTGGAATATCTTAACAAAAAAATTAAAGCGCTTTTCGCTCGACGACGTTCGTCGCGGTCTCGCGGCGACGCAAAGATGCTCGTTACTAATTCACCAACCATATTCCCATCAATAATCCCGCGGAACGGGACAAGCGGCTTTGTCGTTTCGTTCTTCAGCGGAGGGAAGACGGTTCTTCGCGACGCCGGCGAAGAAAACACGGGAACTTCGTGGAACGACCGCTTCGCCGCACGGTTCTTGCACACGTGGCACCGCAGCCTCGTCCGCACGTGGGATTTAACGTCGGTAAACAGGGCTCTTTAACCGACCCCGGACGAGCGAATTTAATAGAGCAAAGTCAAAGGGGTACGAGGGTGGTCGTGTGTGGCACCAGCTCCGTCCAGTTTCTGGTTAAGGTACGGAAGCCACTTGGCCCTCTGTGTCTTAATAAGCTTCCATTCCATTGTGCCGACGCTTTTGCGCCGAGTTGGGACACACGCTGCGTCTCGGACCTTGTTAATTCCTGGCCGCGCCGCGAGCACGATCACGAAGATACTCCTTGGACGATTTCCAATGCTGTAAACGCGCCACGGCCGACCTACTCGCGCCCAGTGCCGTTCGCTAGATCGCCGAACTGTCGGAGCAAAAGACAAGATCCATCCGACAAGGGGCACGTCTGGGCATAGCCAGGTTTTTTCTCCGAGGATGTAATGTCTCGTTGTAAGAGCGCGAGTTCGCCGTGAGTTTGTTAGCCAAGTTACCGGAAGTTAGTCGAGTTACCGGAGTTAGCCGAGAATCTGAAGTTCGACGAGAATCTGAAGTTCGAGGAGATGTCACAGTGCCGATCTGGATTTACAGTGCTGCGCGGCCAGTGAACCCCGAGAACGGACGTCGCTGAAGTATAGTCGATTTTCAATGAATACAGGGCGCCCATGCTTGACCCGAAGAGCCTCTGCGACCCCAACTGATCAGCCCGACACAATTATTCAGATAATAAAACAATCGTTTAGCTGTAACACGCGTTGCCTTCTACGCCAGTGAAACGGACAATAGAAGCACCGAAGTGTAATTTGCAACGATCCGAGGAAAGTTCGATGCTCCGAACAAGCGATCCGTTGCTAGCTATCTTCGCAGCGTCGCTGCCCGTCGTCAATAATTCGAACGAATCTTCGAGAACGTAATAATAGACCGGCTGGTAAGAGGGGAACTATCTAAATGTCAACAAGCAGATCGCTCTAATCGCCGACGAGCGTCGCCGCCTAGGGCTTCCCGGATTCGAGCGCAGTGTCGATGACATCACTCATCGTTGCACCGACTTATCGTTGCAAGCACCTCGAACTTGTTCCTTGCGGACTATTAGCAATTCCATCGCGGCAGATAAGCAATCTCGCGGCGAAGTAGGACATGTCGATTGACGGCTCATTCGCGGACGTTTCATCGCGATAGTTTCGTCGGTTCTCGTCGAGAAGCTGGTTCTCCAGGGAGATGTCGGTTTCTGGAGCTGCATGGGTTCTGTTGTGCTGGCTCGCCTGCTGTTCGGCGGCCGGCAGCGAGCCGGATCCCGGGAAGAAGCTGAGGATCCTCGGGGTCTTCGGCCACCTGGGGAAGAGCCACTTCGACGTGTTCAAGCCGCTGCTGGAGGAGCTGGCCCGCCGGGACCACGAGGTGACAGTGATCTCGTACTTCCCCAGGACCGAGGAGGACGTCGCCGCGGAGCCCCTGCCGAATTACAAGGACATCAGCCTGCTGACCGAGGGAATGAGCGTGCTGCTGAACGTCGTCGACCTGCGAATCTTGGACCATTCGTTCCTCCGGATATTGAAGTCCGTGTACTCGTTGCACACCATGGCGTCCAAGGTCTGCGAGTCCGGTCTGAACAACACCCTCGCGAAGGACTTCGTCGCATCGAACCAAAAGTTCGACCTCGTGATCACGGAGAGCTTCAACACGCACTGCTTCTTCGCGCTGTTCCATCGCATCGACGCGCCCGTCATCGAGGTCTCCACGCATTATCTGATGCCCTGGGTCTTCCACGAGCTTGGCTTCTCCAGCGAGCTGGCCTACGAGCCGTCCATGTTCGCCACCGTGCCAAGACCGATGAGTTTCTCTCAGAGGATGTTGAACGTGTTCGCGGACTGGTTCGTCAGCACGGCAGCTAACACGCTGTTCCGCTGGCGGGATCAGAGGCTGGCCGAGAAGAACTTCGGGCCCGGTGTCCCCGATCTCGAGGAGATGACCAGGAACGTGTCCTTGATGCTCGTGTCCACGCATTATAGTCTTCACGGTCCCCAACCGTACCCTCCGAACGTCGTCGAAATCGGCGGCATTCATATCCCGAAGGAGGTCAGACCTCTGCCCAAGGATATCAAGATGTTCCTCGACGAGGCTGAAGATGGCGTCTTGTACTTCAATCTCGGGTCCATGGTCAGGACGGCCAGCATGCCCGAGGAGACGTTGAACGTCGTGCTGAACGTGCTCGCCTCTTTTCCCAGGAAGGTGATCTGGAAGTGGGAGGCCGATGAGCTGCCGAAGAAGCTCGACAATGTCCTTGTGAAGAAGTGGCTGCCGCAGTACGACATACTGAGTGAGTCGAATGATTTCTTCTTGGTAATCGTTTTTGCTAGAACTACCAAAAAATGGCTGGTCTCTGATTTGCTGTGGATAATGTTTTTGTTTGACATTTTTCTGCGAACTTTTTCATTGGAGCATATATTTTAATAAAAATCGCAGGATGTATAAATAAATGCAGGCTTGTCCTTGTTATAAAACAATGTATAGTCGCGCTTAGGGCTCGGTAGTTCTAGGGTTAAAATGAAAAGGATTAGAGGAATCTATGTACATTCGATTGTGTTGATAATTGTTAGATTATCATTGTTAGATTAATTGTTTCCGGGTGTGGTAATTTTTTAAAAAAGTTTTTTCCTAGGTACATAATGATTTTTTAGAATTCTTGTGATCCTTGGTTAACATTCGCGTAGAATGTGCATCCTAATGCTCGGAGCATCCTAATTTTTAAATACAATATGGTTGAATATATTATCATCAGATTATATATTATCGTTTTATCGACTGTTTTCTAAAGTTCATTCAGTATATATCTATACAGAGGACTAAAGATTACTTATCTAAAGATTGAAGTAATTGACGTTCAAGATGCAGATTGTTGGCGATAATTCATAAGTTTCTGTCCAATTTGATCGGTGCACTGCCGTGGCTTTTAAGTTGGCAGTTAAAAATATGTCGCTTCTGAAGCTAGTCAGTGGGCGTATCTCGAGCACTTTAATAAGCGCGTTGATGTGATAAGTAGACTGCGGTTTTCATGCATTCACGACGCAAGTTGCGCAGCTGAAATATAAAATTGTGATCGCGTGAAAAGAATTTAACAATGCTGTCGCGCTAATTTCAGTTTATCGTAATGATTAAACGAAACAATTTATTTTTATTTTATTTCTGTTCTTGACAATCGTCTTGGAACATTCTGATTTTGCACAAAGATTCGCAGTCTAGCGAAAGAATTTAACAATACTAATTTCAGTTTATCATAATGATTAATAGATATTTTTATTTCATCTCCGCTCTTCGCAATCGTCTCGGAAAATTTTGATTTTGCATACAAATTCGCAGCGATAGAATTTAATAATACAGTCACGCTAATTGCAGTTTATCATAATGATTAAACGAAACAATTTATTTTTATTTCATTTCTGTTCTTGACAATCGTCTTGGAACATTCTGATTTTGCACAAAGATTTGCAATCAAGCGATAAGAATTTAACACTACGGTCACTCCAATTTCAGTTTATCATAATGACTAAACAAAACGATCGTTTTTCATTTCATTTGCGCTCTTCACGATCGTCCCGAAAAATGTTGATTTCGCACAAAGATCCGCGATCTAGCGATAAGAATAGATGCGATTTCCATTCTTCCGACAAGCCACTTGATATTTCGCTTATGCGAGATTAACTGCTTAAAGCAGCCTCTTAAAGCATTTGTTCTACGATTCAGCCGATTATTCCGCACGTTCGTCTCGCTTCGAAAACATCGTTATCTCATAAGTCTGCTCTCAACCAGAAGAAGATATTATACAGAACGAACGTGAGAAGTACTATTAAATCAAAGCAAAATTGGAAAGCCTATCCGAACTTCGATCAAGAGTCTTCGCATCTCATTTCCCGCACATCTCGTCGCATCGTTTCGATGCCTCGACGCGGCGGAACATCGACGACCACCTTTCTCCGTGCCGAAACAATCGCGAAATCAACATCGAGCGATTACACGATCTCTTCAGCCGAGTCAGAAAGTCATCCTCTCGGTCGATGTTGTTTATCGTTTGCGTGGATCCCCTTCTCCAAAGTGGCGATAATATGTAAAAGAAATTGGTACCGCGCTCGCGGCTTAGTATAGCCTATCAGTACTGGCAAGACTATAGTACTTGCACGTTCGCCACCTGTCAACACTTCGACTACCTTGCCATAACCGTGATCATGTTCAGTTCGTCGCGATGGCTCCTTCTATGCGTGCTGGTGCGTTGTTCGGTCACCGCGGAGAGCCCCGGACAAAAGCTGAAGATCCTAGCAGTCTTCGGGTTCCCCGGCGGAAGTCATTTCGCCGTGTTCAGGCCCCTGCTGGAAGAGTTGGGCCGGCGGGGTCACGAGTTGACCGTGATCTCCTACTTCCCTCGAAGCGAGAAGGCGAAGTCGGCGGAGCCTATGCCCAACTACAAGGACATCAGCCTGGTCACCGAGGATGCGCGGGCGTACAGGAACCTGTTCGACATGAACACCGTCGCCGCGAGCCCGCACTTCTGGATGTTCAATACTGTGCGGCTGATCGACGAATTGGCGCGCAAGAATTGCGAAGCCGGCCTGAACCATCCTCTCGTCAAGGACTTCGTCGCAGCCGGCGAGAAGTTCGACCTGGTGATCACGGAGAGCTTCAACACCCATTGCTTCTTCGCTCTGTTTCACCGGCTGGACGCGCCCTTCGTCGAGATCTCCACACATTATCTGATGCCTTGGACCTTTCCTCAGCTGGGATTCTCCAGTTCAGCGGCCTACCAGCCCTCGCTCTTCTCCCGCGTACCCAAGCCGATGAACTTCCTCCAGAGATCGGTGAACGTCTTCTCGGAGATCTATGTGAACACTTTCGCCAGCACTTTGCACCATTGGCGGGATCAGAGGCTCGCGGAGAAGGCCTACGGCCCCGGTATTCCCGATTTCATGGAGATGAGCAGGAACGTGTCCTTGATGATGGTCAACACGCACTTCAGTCTTCACGGTGCTCAGCCGTACCCTCCGAACGTCGTCGAAATCGGCGGCGTTCATATCCCGAAGAAGGTCTTCCCTCTGCCCAAGGACATCAAGATGTTCCTCGACGAGGCTGAAGAAGGCGTCTTGTACTTCAATCTCGGGTCCATGATCAAGATGGACACCATGACCGAGCAGACGCTGAACGTTTTGATGAACGTGCTTGGGTCGTTGCCCAGGAGAGTGATCTGGAAGTGGGAGGCCGATAGTCTGCCGAAGAAGCTCGACAATGTTCTCGTGAAGAATTGGCTGCCGCAGTATGACATACTGAGTGAGTAACTTTCTTCTTGGAATCGTCTTTCGCGAGGCCTCCTTGACACTGGAACTACCAGACTAGTTGGAATGGCCGGTCTTTGATCTGCTGTGGAAATGTTTTTGTTGGCCATTTTTCTGCGAACTTCTTCATTGGAGCGTACAGGGTGTCCCGAAAATGTCTCGCAATCCGGAAATGGGAGGTTCCTGAGGTCATTTGAAGCAACTTTTTCCTTTGCGAAAATGTTCTCCGAGGCTTCGTTTACGAGTTATTAACGAAAAACACTGACCAATAAGAGGCGAGATCATTTGGCGCACGGCGGCCCAGCCAACGAGTGCACGGAGCCCAGTTCCGCCCATTTGATCGGCCGTCTCGCGTCAAACGACTTCGCCTCTGATTGGTCATTGTTTTTCGTTAATAACTCGTAAACGAAGCCTCGGAGAACATTTTCGCAAAGGAAAAAGTTGCTTCAAATGACCTCAGGAATCCCCTACATTCGGATTGCGAGACATTTTTGGGACATCCTGTATAATTTATAAAAATCGCGGGGAGTGTGAATTAATGCAGCCTTGTCGTTGTAGAACAATAGTCGCGATAGAACAATAGTACGATAGTCGCGTTTAGGGCTTGATTAGTGTTAGTGTTAAAATGAAAGGGATTAGAGGCATCTATGTACATTAGATCTTGCTGATAATTGTTTGAGGTCGCCGGGTGTGTCTTATCATTATAATTATCTAGTTTATTAAAAACGTTTCTCAGTTAATTCTTTTGATCCTTGGTAAACATGCGCGTGGAATTTATGGCGCATCCTAATACTCGGTGATCCTAATTTTTAGATACAGTACAGCTGAATGCAGTAATGTCTCCCTAATTGACGCTCAGATTGTGCAGAAAAATGGACAATTTGGGAAGTGGAGATACGATTGTTCGAGCCTCACGACTCGTTTTTATAGTTACCGATTTTCAACAATTATAAAAACGAGCCGCAAGGCTCCAACAATCGTATCTCCACTTCCCAAATTGTCCATTTTTCTGCACAATCTCAGTGTCAATTAGGGAGACATTACTGTATATTGTGAAGATTATTATTTCATGGACTATTTTCTAAAATTCGTTCGGTATACTGCAAATTCTGCCTAATTGTCGCTCGCATTGTGCACAAAATTGGACAATTTGGGAAGAGATGCGATTATTCGTTTTGGTGATCCCAATTTTTAAGTGCAATGTAGCCAAGCATGTTGCATTATGATTTTATTAACTGTTTTCTAAATCTTTAGTGGGATATGTGTTTAACGTGTATTTATATCGAGGACTGTGATGAAATTAATAGTAGCTGATGGTCCAAATGAAAGTAATTGAGGTTTAGACAGCTTTTATTTCTTTTGATTGAAGCTCTGACGAGGTAAATGTCAGAGGTTGTGCAGCTACTAGAGTACGAATAATGGATGGATTACGATATATTTGGCTGTCCTCGACCGCTAGCTGTTGCAAATGGTCCCTTTATAAATAGATCACGTTTATGGCAACGGTGCCAGTAAATATTACTTGATCGTCGATCCGAGAAGTAAAACGATTTCTGAGCGATCGCGAACATTGGATCTTCGATCATAATGTAGTCAGAGTTCTGTGATCTGAATATATTTAGTTATTACGTTATTATTATATTTATTATTATTTATATTACTATATTATATTATATTTATTATCACATTTATATTATTATATTATATTATATTTATTATCATTTATATTATTATATTATATTATATTTATTATTATTTACATTATTATTATATTATATTTATTGTTATTTATGTTATTATTATATTTAGTTGCTTATCCCGCGGACTCTGATAAGGGATAGTTGCAACATTCTTGTGATAAAGTACTTATGCGACACTAGAAGCTTCAAGCTGTTTCTTAAAGTATTTATTATTTGGCTTAGCTGGATATTCTGCAGTCTCATCTTGTTTTCAACTATGCTTATCTTAGAATTTCTTTCCCGACCGGAAGAACTTATCTTGCAAGAAAAGCAGAAAGTCGAATTGGTTTGAAACTCTTCCTCGCGGTTTCTATTCAGCTGTCAGAACGTTCATGGATTTTTCATCTCGATTTTATCCGTTTTCAAACTCCAACTGTGACTTAAAATTGTCACTATTCTTGGGGATGGTTGAACCTCTGTCATCAACTCGATAGAAAATTCTCTTATTCTGAACTTTACAAAAAAAGAAACGAATTGTCATGTTATTATTGTTCTTGAATATTCCATTTTTTATTGTCTATATTATACATATTTACTGTTATATTATATATAGAAAATATAGTATATGTATATATATTTATTTATTTTTATTTATTTATTATATTTATATTATATTATATATATATTTATTTATTATATTTATATTATATTATATTATATATATATTTATATTTATATTTATATTATATTATATTATATATATATTTATATTTATATTTATATTATATTATATTATATTTATATTTATATTTATATTTATATAATTTTTTATTTTTGTAACAACATTTTTTACATAAAACATAAATAATTACAACGATAGATGTTCGATCGATTCAATCGAATATTGTGTACCACGGCCCGCAGAACTTTTTCTCATGACTCGAATTTATTAAAATTAATGCACGGAAACTTTTTTTTCTCGCAAGAGAGACACGAGCTCGTCCATTAAAATCGAAACAGTCGGACTCGCCTCTTCTCAACCAGTTCGCGACCTTGACTCCAAGCAGCAAATTCGATGCTATTACGCGTTCGCTGAAATTTGCCTAATAATACGCCTGCTAGGCAGAAAGGTTCGCATACGTTCGCGTGTCGTTTTGTTCGGAGGAAACTCGTTCGTGATGCAGTGCGTCATCCTAGCAGAACTTCTTAAACTCCGAGCCCGGAATAGCGAATGGTTTGTTTGTTGGTCATTGATTACTCTGCATTGCGTAATGTCAGGCGTGTATTAAGCACTGTACCCGGGCTCCTTCGTCGCGCCCGATGCTATCGATATTATCTTTCTTGAGGAAGTTAGGCGGCCGATAATCAGCCGCGCGGGTATCTGTTATTCCCAGAAGCTTCGGACACCTCGTGAACGATTATGGTCACGATGATGTCAATGTTAACACAGACTGCGAGTTCTCATTATTCGCATTCCTGTTGAAACGTGCGAAAAACGAATATTGATTCGACCGATTATTACCATTTTTGAACAATTCTATGATTTTAGAAGTGAACAGATCAAATACGAAACACTGGAAACATTAAAAAGATTACAAAATACTATTGCATCGCTGTAGGATCGGAGATTTTTAAGAAAATTAGTAGAATATTTAATTCGATGATAATCACAAGAACGCGACAACAAACGCTTTAACACTAGATTTATGGAACCCGTCAAAATGACGGGTTATTAATTTTTTAATCTACGATTATTCATATCGTTAAGATGCATTTCTGAGTTATTTATTCAATTTATAACGTTACTCGCGGCAAATGTTACAATAACACTTGTGAAAAATCAGAATAAATGTGTCTTATCGTTACTTTTACGAACAATTCTTTGATTTTATGTGATGATTTTAGAAGTGAATAGATCAAATACGAAACACTATAAACATTAAAAAGATTACAAAATACTATTGCATCGCTGTAGGATCGGAGATTTTTAAGAAAATTAATAGAATATTTAATTCGATGAGAATCACAAGAACGCGGCAACAAACGCTTTAACACTAGATTTACGGAACCCGTCAAAATGACGGGTCACTAATTGTTTAATCTACGATTATTCATATCGTTAAGATGCATTTCTGAGTTATTTATTTAATTTATAACGTTACTCGCGGCAAATGTTACAATAACATTTGTTAAAAATCAGAATAAATGTGTCTTATCGTTATTTTTGTAGACTGATATAAAACATCTGTTTTATATCATTTTTTAACACTCAACGCTAAATTGAATATGCAAACAAACTTTCTACACGGATCTCCGTTCGAGATTCGATCGTTTTCTTTTTTCTACGTTTTCTTTATCCTCCGAATCGCGCAAAACTAAAGTACAAAACGAAGTTCCCGAAAAGCAGTGACGTATCATCGTCGCCAGGATCCCTCGTCCCACTTTCGATTCACGCTTTCACAAACGATCGTCGTTGAAGTGACATCAGTGCAGCGTATCGTGTTCCAGAAGTTGCGAAGTTGTAACACGATCATGCACGTAACCGCAGAACAGGATGCATCATCGTTCTCTCTTCACATTATCGTGGTTTTCGACGCATAATCGAGCTATCCGAGGAAATTCTTCCTGTCATCGGATCGATTCCTAAGAACATACCCGCCACATTATTGCAAACGTCGCGAACGATCTAATTAACTCCGCAGAGTGATCACGCGCGATCTGCTCATCGCGAGCATCCAAGAGACTAGGCTCGACTTCGCGTGAGCACGCCCGTGAAATCGCGCGAAATCTCGAGTGGAAAACCGTGCGAGATCTCGAGTGAAAAATCGTGCGAGATCTCGAGTGAAATCGCGATTGAGAAATCGGGACGAGTTTTGATTCGACGAGTCATCCTATTCGCGTCACGGCGTATTCGAGGCGTGTGCGAGTCATTGTCGCGACGAAACGCACGTTCGGACAAACGATTCCTCGTTCCGATAGCACCAAACATCGGCGACCTTTTCATCTGTCTTAACCTAAATACTTGATCGCCCAACTAAAAAAAAAAGGAGCATCTCGCTATCTGCGAAACCTTCGGATCGCAAGTGACTCTATCGGGCGTCATCGTTATCATCGAAGACACGTGTCCAGGCTTCCCCGAAACCGGCGGCGTTACATAAAGGAACGCCGTCGCCGGCCGATGGGCCCTGTTAGGTGTCTGCGCGCGAATGAGTGGATTGGTGGCTACGGATTCAAGCCACGGCACAGATCTTCGGCAGTCTCGTAGCCGAGCCAGTTGTTCGGCGACCATGTTGGCATCGCGAGCTCGATGGTTCCACGCGTGCACTCTCGCGCTCCTGGCGTGTTGTTCGGCCGCGGCGAAGGACCCAAGGGACCAAGGTCAGAGACTAAAGATCCTAGGAGTCTTCGGGCACCCGGGGAAGAGCCACTTCGACGTGTTCAAGCCCCTGGTGGAAGAGTTGGCGCGGCGGGGTCACGAGTTGACCGTGATCTCCTATTTCCCTAGAAGCGAGAAAGCCAAGGCCGCGGAGCCTCTGGCGAACTATAAGGACATCAGTCTGGTGACCAAGGACCGGGGTGTTTTCGTGAACGTGGTGAATCTGACGGACATCGAGCAGTACAAGAACTTCAAGATGATCGGGAATTTGTACATGCTGGGCAAGATGGCGGAGATGGCTTGCGACGCCGGCTTGAACCATCCTCTTGTGAAGGAGTTCGTGGCTGCGGGGGAGAAGTTCGACCTGGCGATCACGGAGAGCTTCAACACCCATTGCTTCTTCGCGCTGTTCCACCAGCTGGGCGTGCCTTTCATCGAGATGTGCAGCCATCAGCTGATGCCCTGGTTCTACGACGAGCTTGGCTTCTCGAACGAGGCCGCTTACATGCCGTCCATGTTCGCGCTGACTCCGAGGCCGATGGACTTCCTGCAGAGGATGTGGAACGTGTTCACCGTGGCGATGTCCTACGCCATGGCGAACACTCTTTATCATTGGCGCGATCAGAGGATCGCGGAGAAGGCCTACGGTCAAGGTGTGCCCGATCTGCTGCAGATGAGCAAGAACGTGTCCTTGATGCTGGTGAACACGCATTACTCGATCCACGGCGCCCAGCCGCATCCTCCGAACGTCGTCGAGGTCGGCGGGCTTCATATCCCGAGGAAGGCGAGTCCTCTGCCCGCGGATGTTAAGAAGTTCCTCGACGAGGCCGGGGAAGGCGTCTTGTACTTCAATCTCGGGTCCATGGTCAAGGCGGCCACCATGCCGCCCGAGAAATTGGCCAGCGTGATCAACGTGCTCGCCTCTTTGCCGAGGAAAGTGATCTGGAAGTGGGAGGCCGATGATCTGCCGCAGAAGCCCGGCAACGTTCTCGTGAAGAAGTGGCTTCCGCAGTTCGACATACTGAGTGAGTAAAGGTGTTCGTCGACGGGACTGTCTTTGCGTGGAGAGTTCCCGGCGGAATGAAAGAGAGACCGGAGGTATCTGGGCCGGGCCAGATCGTGTTACTAAGAGGCTTCTGGGTTTTCATACTTTGACTGCCTTCGCGGACGTTCACCCCTGTCGTTTGCCACTTGGCGACCGTGCAATGGGACAAAACGAGATACGCTCGGGGTTCAGGGACCTTGGAGTGTTGGGAGACGATCGCGAATAGACCGCGGTTTTTTCGCGTTTCTGGCGACATTCGGTTGCGACGATTTGAAACGGGGAGATTGGGAGAATTGGGGAATGTCGATGCGTTAGTTTTATTGTGATGAAAGGGGTGGATGCACTTGCTATTTAGTTTCTATTTCTTGCAATTGACCGAGGCAATTTTTGTTTTGCGTAAAAATTCGCAGTCTAATTATGTATTATTCGCGTTTCAGTGGAATTGCAAAGCTTATTTTTTCAAGATTTTGTACCCTTAGAGAAAATAGCTTTGATTATAGCGAATGGTATATTTGGGCATATTTCGACCTCTATTTATCTCGTTTCACAGTATTTTTATCAAATAGGTCAAATGACACCTTTTAGAATTTTTAATCATTTTTTTCGAGTCTCATTATCTTTCTCCAATATTTCTCAATTTTTTTAGTAGAGAGATTGAAAGAATTAAAAAATTGTTAATGTATTATTTTTAATCTGTCAAAATAATTAAAGGGTGAATACACTTGCTATTTAGTTTCTATTTCTTGCAATTAACGGAAGCAATTTCTATTTTGCATAAAAATCAGTTTAATTACGAATCGTATTCGCATTCTAGTGGAGTTGCAAAGTTTATTTTTTCATGACTTTGTACCCTTAGAGAAAATAGCATTGATTATTGTATAGTGAGTGGTATTTGGGCATATTTCGAACCCTATTTATTTCGTTTCACAGTATTTTTATCAAATAGGTCAAATGACACGTTTTAGAATTTGTAATCACTTTTCTTCAATTTCTCGATTTTTCCTACAATGACGATGATATTAATATTGTAAATATAAGCGTATGCACATAATTGGTAAAGCAGTATTAATTGTATTTTTCAAGTAACTTCCTTCGTGGATATTTTGTTGCATCGAATTTTGCAATCGCTGATTTCATTTTATTATTAATCGTTCATTCATTACGACGAACTGTCTGATGATAATCTTGAAATGCTCGGTCATAATGGACACCAAAGATTGCGTATCATTTAATCGATGCGTACATTACGAATAAATGATTCTCAATTAATTATGCCGGATCAATGTTGATTTTTTTTAATGTTCTATAAATAATTCTTTTCGAACTATGCAACGATTTCACTATAAATCAAAGCGGTTGAATGAAAGGAAAAACTTTCTTTCCAGGCATCACTAATTCATTCGATTAGCATATATGCAAATTAGCACATTTGCTGTTTTCTAGCACATTTTCTAGCACTTTCAGTTGATAGAGCGATTTGTGCGTCGCATATCAGACTTCGCAGTTTGCAAGTGAGACAGCGACAGTCGAAAGATTACGGCATTCTGATTCGGCGTACCTAGGATTACTATTTCAGATATCTCGACAGTTTTCATTTCTTCAGAAAACAAACATCGATACATGGGACTTATTGAAAATGTAAAAAAGATTAATATCGATTCATAGAAAATGATAAAATAGTTTAAAAATAGCGATAAAATAGTGAAAGTAGAATAAAACCGTGAAAAATGATAAAATAATTTAAAAATAGTTGCAGCGCAAATTTCGAAACGAAAACGCTTCGGTTAATATTTACAGGTATCGTTCGACTTTCGCGGAAAACGTCTCGCAAATCATTCAGGTTCTCGTAAAGCGGGGAATTCCAATTTTTCACGGAATTTCTCGACTCTTCCTCGCAGCGAACAGTAGACAATGAGCGAGCAAATGTGCTGTTTGCATATATGCTAATCGCATGAGTCAGTGATGCCTCGGAAGAAAGTTTTTCCTTCTTCCGTTCTGATAATGTTGATCGTAACCGAATGCCGATAAAATTCTAATCGAATCTCGATCAAATTCTAATTGAATCTTGACAAAGATGTAATACTCGATAAAATTATCAGCGTCGTTTATTATCTGTCACGTTCATTGTTACGTGCGTTTCATTGAATCGATTGAATTCCATTTTTCGATAATTTGTCGAAAAATTAATTAGAATCATTTTAAACTACTCTTTGAACGGTGTTGTAACAAAGAATTTTCCAGCTATGAATTTTCGAACAAAGAATTTTTGAACTATGTTATAACAAAGAATTTTCGAACTGTGTTGTAACAAAGAATTTTTGAACCGTGCTGAAGCAAAGAATTTTCGAATTATGTTATAACAAAGAATTTTCGAACTATGTTGTAACAAAGAATTTTCGAGCTATGAATTTTCGAACAAAGAATTTTTGAACTATGTTGTAACAAAGAATTTTCGAACTGTGTTGTAACAAAGAATTTTTGAACCGTGCTGAAGCAAAGAATTTTCGAATTATGTTATAACAAAGAATTTTCGAACTATGTTGTAACAAAGAATTTTCGAGCTATGAATTTTCGAACAAAGAATTTTCGAACTGTGTTGTAATAAAGAATTTTCGAACTATGTTATAACAAAGTATTTTCCAACGGTTATATAAAAGTTGCAAAAACTTGTATAACTGGTCCACCGACGACAGGATAATTACAGCTGTTCGCTAGAACGACATAATGATTTTCTAAAACGCGGGAAACAGAAGGGAAATGGGAACGAATATCCCTCGGTCAACAAAGTATTTATATAATAGTATTTTCAAATTCTCGGTTTCCACCGTAAACGCGTAATAATCTGAATTTTCCCGTAAGCCCCGACAAGTCCGCAGATAAAATTTCATTACAGATTGAGCAATTATTGATTTTCCGGCAACGCGCATCTTCTCAAATAATTACATAACGATAATGAAAATCGCTATGCAACAAGCCCGGCCGCCTTTACCCGCGTAATGGAAACCGTAAATGGAAAGAGAGATCTTTCGCCGAGTTGCATTTTAATGAGAATTCTTAATTCTTGTAATTCCTCTCCCAGCGGGGCCGTAAGAAAATGAATTTTCGCTTTCGGGCAAGTGAAATATATCGCTTGTATCTGTTTTAATGGACTCGTTATCGGGCTCCGCACTTGCCGTATATTGCATAACCGGTCGTATTTGTCGGCCAGGGAATGATTCAACGTGATCTCTATTGACAGTGCAAGAAGAGCAGAAGCAGCTGCACACAGCTAACGACACGTTGCTCGGACCACGCGTCCATTCGTGGTCCTTGTTCTCGTAAACAAATCGTTAATTATTCCCACCGTAAACAGGCATCGTATGTCCATTTTGCTATGCAATTTTTCCACATTAACCCCGTAACACGCCGCGATCTCGTATTAACGAGATGCAGCTGCACCAATAAAATATATTCGCTCGTTTTCGGTTCACGTTGCCCTTCGTCCTGCGCGTTTCCGATTTATTTATAGTATTTCTACTCGTGCCATTTATTTACGCTTGCTCTCATGCATCGTTCATTTACACAGCGCTCCTCTCTGTTCCTGTTGTTTTACATTTCCGTCGGTCATTTTATTCCGACACTTTTAACACTAGATTTGCGAATTTACGTCGAAACGACGGCTCATTAATTTGTTTCATTTTCGATCGTAATTCATATCGTAAAGATACGTTTACGAGCTATTTATTCGATCTATATGTTGCTTACGGCAAATCTTACCGATAACACTCGTTAAAAATCAGGATAAACTTCTCATTTAATTAACGTCTCAATTAATAGAAAACAGCTGTTTTTTGTGCTCCGCGAATTTAATTATTAACCGGCGAAGCGCATTAACTTGCAGCGCATTAATTCTGCTTTATAAATTAACGTCAATTTAGCAAACGAGCGGGTTTATCGAACACTAATTGCTGTTATTTTATACTATTTTTATTGTATCAAGGAATAGCGTAATTTCTATTAGCTCGCACGTTATTATCGTTCCGATCGCTAAAGAAGGCGACAATTTTTCTGTCGCCTTAACTCTTTGGTGGAGGCACCGTTAAAATTGTTACATTGCGTTCCAAGATAATTTTTATATTATAAAAGTCTGCACGTGAAAAAATCGAGTCGCAAGACTATAAATTTCATATGCATAAAATGCACTTTGTTGTATAAAATGGAAATACCATAAATCAGAAAAATTAATCTAGATTTACAGTTAAAATGGCTTCGAGTGCAACGGGTTAAAATAGGAAGAAAATTCTCGTCAACGACGAATTCAATTCGGCGCCAATGGGTCCCCGCTGCAAAAAAAGGATCCGCGGATCTTCTCGAAAGCTGGCCACGCTGTTCGCGCAGAATAATGTTCCGTAACGAAACGCGTAATATCGTCATATTGGCATCGCTGGTCGCCGGGATAAAAGGGCACAAAGAAGAACGGAGATCCTCCCCCTCTTCCTCTCCCCGCTTCGGTGCTCGAAATCGAAATTGAAATTCTACTCTTGCGATTGAAATTGATCGAGGCCGGCGGTACCATCGAAAATCGTTGCGAAATGTATCGAAAGCGGATTTCGAGGCCGAAACGGGCTACGAATCGGCGGGCCCGGTATTTGCTATAGCGCGGAGGCGGCGAGCGTCAAATAGTTTAGAAACATTCAAAGCCGCTTTGCATAGTCGAGGAGCTTTCGATACTTCGAAATGATATCGCGGCCGGTGTTGATACGGCAACGTATCCGGTTTCGATCATCGAATAGCACATTATTCTCGGATTGCAAAATCATCCGGAAAGGGAACAATTGCCACTTGATGCGCCTGTCGAATCCAAATTACCGTGATATCGGGCGGTCTTCTGCTTTCTAGCTGAATGCCGATAAGCGGACGCCGTGGAAACGGCGGAAACGGTATAAATATAGAAAACACGACGAAAAATTGTTCCGCGGTGCTCCGTGCTTCGGCTCGACG